TTTCAATACAAATGTTGTATTCCTTTACTTGTACTGTGTTAGTGTAAAATACAACTTTCTTTCTTTTTTTTTTTTACTATTGGAGCATGGAAGTTTTGGAAGAATTTATTGGGCCCTGGCCCCAATAACGTTAAGAACCACTGATGTAGAGATACAGACCTGCTTGGAAATTTTAAGGCAAATCAGATATATTTCCTGCCTGTGTATTTTAACTTTTCCTCTGCTCTTGTATAACTTCTTTAGCAATGGGTTATTTTTAAACATTAGCTAGACTGTCTTAAACTTGCATGATAACTCATATTGCATATATTTCAAAGCTGCTACATAGCCTTTATTGAAGTTGTCACAAATATTGCGTATATGTATTTTTTCTTGATTTCTATGTCTTTCCTTATACAACCACATTACTATTCCTTGTACAACATCCTGTTTTCCAATGTGTGTATTTGTTTTACATGCTCAGGCCCTTGTGGTTTTATGTCCCATTTTTCTATGACATTGACTAATGAGCAAAGGACTTAAGAAACACAGGTGGCCATTTTATCCTTGTCTAAGTATATTCCTTTGTTTTTGGCCATGTGCTCTTTCGCACTTCCTGCTGATGGCTGGATTAACAAGAGTGTTATAATAGGCTGAACATCTCCCCATCCTGGAGCCCTGTGGCACAGGGAATGATAACATGGAGTGAGCCTGGCTTGATAAAAGAATAAGAGACTGCATGGAGCCAGATATCTGAATATAACCAAGCAGTTTCTCAGCAAAAGCACTTTACAGGACTCGTGCTGTGCCAAGAGCCTCACTGTCAAAAAAATGTTCTATTCATCATGGAGTGTCTTTTATATGTAATACCCTTTTTATCTTACATGTTACTATTCTCCATTTTCTAAATAACTGTAGAAATCTTATCATGAAATATTAAAATATTGAATAGTCATTGCTGTATTCACTGAGTAGACTAGTCCTCCATAATGAATTATCATTTTGACTGCCCGCAGTATAGTATTAGTCTAAAAAAGACATACAGGAAGATGCAAACATTTTCCATACTCATAAACCCTAGTTTATCTAGAGCAGAGGTTTCTAACTGTGGGTATTCATATCCCTTGGGAATAAAGGAACCCAATGATGGAGGGTATGGTATTTGTAAGACACTTGAAACAAGATTTTCTGCATTATTGAACCTTAAATCTTTTGTTCCAAACTACCATATACAAAAAATAAGACCAATCTATTGATATATCTTATGAAACCACGCTGGTGCTTAATAGAACTAGGAATGATGATTTTTGATAATCTGTTGAAGGGAAACTGTTGAGCAATCCATTGGGGATCCATAATCATATAGGGGTACATACCTCTGATCTAGAGCAGCCTTTCTCAACCAGGGTGCACTGGCACCCTGGGGCCTTGAGGTTTCTTCAGGGGTGCCCTGGTAAAATGTTTAAACATTGCCCAAAACTTGTATACATGTCAGTGGGTGGGAGAATTTGCTTTTTAGTTACACAAAGCCACAGGTTTTCATTGTGCACTATTACAACCTACTAGCCGCCGGCATCCTGACAACCAATGACATCATCAGTTGATAAGGAGGATGTCAGCTGCCTACACAGCATCCTAGTTTGGGTTTGGAGTTTTTCACAGTATTTAGGGTCTAGAATTATGACCCATTTTTAGTTATTCAATTGCACTTTAAGGATTTTTGCACTTTAATTTAAGTTCCCTATTTTGGGATTCGTATGTTGGTATTTATCTGATTTATTTATTGTATTTAGTGCACTTTATATTTATATTTAAATTTAGTGCTGCACCATATGTACACTATTTATGTTTTATCCTTTTTAGAGGTATAAGGTTGGGGTGCTAGCAGCTTTGTCTAGGTTGCGTTCATTTAGCGCAGGAGGAATCACTACACTTTTATCCTAGTTTGACCCTCCCCTGTCCCTTTTCATCAATGCTGGGGTCACATTAGCTCAGTGATGGAGAAAAACTGAAGGAAAAAAGAAACATTGGAATACTAGTTAGTACCAGTGTGCAAAAGTGTATTTTCTTTGGAAGAATAAATCCCCTCTAATGTTGGGTGCCCTACATGTGTGGATATTGCTGTGTTATATAAAAGTATTAGAATAGTTTCTCACATTTTAGAATGGGGTGCCCTTTTAAAATTATGGACAGTCTAGAGGCACACTATTTTAGAATGGGGTGCCTCAAGACTGTCCATAATTTTAAAGGGTGCCTTGACTGAAAAAAGGTTGAGAAACCCTGATCTAGAGGATAGCAGAAACTGTGGTTTAATTTATCAGGAAAAACATTTCTATTTGTGCCATCAACATGTTTAACTCTTTGTGGATCTTGGAGTATATCTGCTGTTTGTTCTGTTTTTTAAAAGGTGCACGGATACCCAGGAATTTGGGTATTTCATTTCTTTTTGCTAAACCTCACCTTACTTCTGATGCCTTTGTTTGGGGTGTCCTTGCAAAGTACCAGCATTAGCACTCTATTATATTGGACCTCACCTTCCTCTGACTTGTAACTCCTGCTAGGAATGCAATTACTTTGAGGTGATTTCTGTTCCACTGTACCTATGTCCTAAATAGAGAACAAATTGAATTGTCTAAAGCAGTGCTTTTCTATGGTCTTTTGTAATCGAGGCATCTTTTCTCCCTAAGACAGTTTTTACCATGAGTCACCCATTGTTCTTCATGCAAGCACATAGGAAGTGATGATTAAGCTAATTTTAGTACTATTAATTTAAATATCACAGGCTCATTTAATTTCTTCAGTCATAGATGCCAGCTGTTTTCACAAGAACTATGCAGACTAAGCAGTGAGGTTTCTAAATTATTTTCATCGGTCTCATGCACAAATAAAAGAACATTACCTTTAAAACTGAGCTTTTTCAGTTTTAAATATACATTTTATTTTTTTATGCTAAAAAGCCTAACTGCTTATCAGCATTGTTCTCAACTATTTTGAAAATAAATAAAAAAAATTGCCTTTAAATAGCACTTTTTAAGATAAACCAGCACCTGTTGTATGACATGCATATATTTGAATTGTTTAGTAAGGCAAGACAGAAAAACAACAGCACTTTTCATCCAGTCTTAGGCTCCATTCACAATGGGCATTTTAATAACGCTGGTAGCGTTAGCTGTGTAAAGTCACATTAAAAATGTGGGTTTTTCAGTATTTTTTTAGCATTTTTACATTAGTGTTTAGCTGCGTTTTTCTGCATTTGCGTTTTTTAACTTTTATTCGCAACAAAAAAATTTCCTAAAAAAAATCTAAACATGCCAGTCTACCACGGTTTACAGCGTTTTTTCAGCATTAGAGCATTTTTACAGCTAAAAAACTCATCTAGAAACCCACTCATTCTGTTTTTTTTTCCAGCCAAAAAACGCTGATTACAGCCTATCTGTGCATGGACACATAGGATAACATGGTGGGGAGTTTACTGGCTGTTGAAAAAAATGCCAAAAGACAAAAACTGCAGCTTTAAAAACGTCCAGTGTGCATGAAGACTAAACGTACAGTGATTGCTGCTACTCCAAGTGTGTGATAATCGTATTGAATGGTGAAGTTGTGCTTCACTATGTTACTATGACCACAGACAGCAGCATCTGGAATTTTTTTTTTCATATATAGCTTTGTTCACTTGTATTTTTTTCACCCACTGAGGATGTTTGAGTGGACACATACATTAAACACAAGTCAACTGAATACACGTCTGTATTTACCCTCAATGTGTACTTAATTTAACCCTTAAAAACATTGTAAAATAAAGTACATTTATTTAGTGAACTGATAAAGCATCCTAGGGCACATTACAGATATGCTAAAGTAAAACTAGTATTTTTTAAAATCTGTGCCACCAGGTTGCTAATGAACAAATATGCAGCTGCTATCCTAAAAGTGTTAAATAGTACACCTTAAAGGACAAGTTCACCTTTAAAAAGAATAATAAAAATGTGCTTTTATTTATTTATTTGTTTTACTTAGTGGCTAGAAAGCATTGGGCTGCACTGGAAAAGTGACTGCAGAGCTTAATCTCCATCTTCATGGGACTGAGATTGAGCTCTGCAGTCACTTTTGCAGCAGTTGTTTTCTTATTCTGGGTCACAATCCTGTGCAATGTCTTTTTTTTTTCTTTTGGTCAGTTGCAATGTCTTTTTTCTCTTTTGACCATGTTGACCGCGCTTATGCTTATCAGATGACATTTTTCTGGAAATTCTATATGCCGTCATAACCTTTTGATACTGTACCTCGCGACATGGTAACTAATTTAGCAACTTCAGTTACAGAGGTGCCAGCTAACTGGGCACCAACAATTTGCCTTCTTTGAAGCTCAGTAAACTCTGACATGACTCTGTAATACTAGCAGCGCACACAGTGAATAACGAAAGTGAGGCTTCCCACTTGTTAGCTAGGTGTCTTATCACACAGCAGAAACAAGAGTGTTCCTTCACTTGCGCTTTCAATGCAAAAACATATCGTCACTTTCACACCTGCAAATTATGTAGTGTTTCCATTTTTTGGTCTAACCAATATGTCTGTCATGCTTTTATTGCTTATTTACCCTTTTGATGAAAATTCCTCCCTGTTCTTGTAAGGGTGACTGGTGCCACTAAGACAAAAAGTGGGGAACAATCTACTCAAAGAGGACACAGTATTACAAAAAAATGGCAGAGGTTTTATTTTTCTCCACTCAGTCCAGAAATGAAAAAAAAATGTTTTGACATGAATATTGTATAAGCATATGATGTTTTCTTTTCAAATAATGAATTACTTTTGTATTCTTGAAACAGGTTTTGTGCCATATCCAACAAAAGGAAGTTTCCTCAGCAATGTCTCAAGATATTTCAGAAAATCCTCACATGCTAAAATTCTAAAAATAAAGTGGGTGTCAGAAAATGAATAACCATGTAAATAAAACATAAATACTTTCTTGTTGGACAAGAGTAGCAAAGGCAAATACAGCAAAGATCACAGGATTTTTTAACATCATGCAGTCAGATGACTTTTTTACAAGAACATTTAAGACTGTAAATAGCAGTATGGGTCCTTCTTCAACAGTAAATGCCTTGGGGAAAGTTGATGCTAATGGACAGAACAATGGAACACCAGCAATGCCCAAAATGGGTGTAAGAGCAAGAGTTTCTGAATGGCTGCCAAAAAAAGATTCCATAGAAGAAAGGTGCAGCAAAATGTCTTTAAAACACAGAACTCGATTAAGTTATGAGAGTATTTCTCAAAGTTCAGATGGGAAAAATGACCAGACTGATATGGATGAAAAGCCTTTTGATCCAGAACTATTGCAGATGAAGTATTTAAATGGAGATTTCCTTTGCCATTCACCTCACAGGGGACTACTACATCCTATAAGACAAAGAAGTAACAGTGATGTTACCATCAGCGATACTGATACAGATGATATTCTTGACCAAAATGCTGTTAATCCAAACACTGGAGCATCTTTACATCGAGAATATGGGAGTACATCATCAATAGACAGGCAGGGTTTGTATGGAGACAGCTTGTTTGCAATGATTAAAGGTTATAGAATGGAAAATGTGGAGCAACCAAATCTGACACAATTTACATTTTCTGAGGTTTTCCACTACGATCCTGCTGTTTCTCAAAGTATGCGGACTGCTGGACACATTTCTAGGGGTCCCTTTGTTAGCATTTCTGAATTGGATTATTTGGACAGCTCCTTGTTGGCTGGGAAAAAAAGAGACAAGCTATTTAAAAAATATTTGAGAACACAGTCTTTTGAGCCTGCTCTGTTTTCAGCAACAGAGAAGTGTAGCAAGTGAGCCTGATGTTTTAAAGTGCTCCTTTGACGTTGATGATGGTAGTTTTGAAAAGAGTATACATCCGTGGACATGTGAAAAAAGTTTTGCCCACTATGATGTACAAAGCATTTTGTTTGATGTCAATGAAGCCATGGAAACTCAGGCTAACATTGCAAAAAGAAAAAATATAACCACCGGAGCTTCAGCAGCATCACAGTTATCAATAGTTGGAAGCCAGTCCCCAGGCTGCGACTCTGTCGTAGACAGTAAAGAGGACCCTGACCCTAAAACCACTCTGGAAACTGATGAAGGCGATGGTAAAAGCAATGACATTATTTTGAGCTGTCCATACTTCAGAAATGAGATCGGAGGGGAAAATGACAGACAGATTGCTCTTTCAAGGGCAAATTCTCTGGCCTTGACTACTGGTGAAACATGTTCCTTTGAATCATCACTCAGTTCTCACTGTACTAATGCAGGTGTCTCTGTTCTTGAAGTGCCAAGGGAAAACCAACCTATTCACAGAGAAAAAGTGAAGCGATACATAATAGAGTACATTGATCTTGGAGCATACTACTATAGAAGGTTCTTTTATGGAAAAGGTTTGTTTATAATTTCACATTTCAATTCATGTCTATAATTCATGTCTTTGATCTATGCTTGGCATGCTAAAGAATTATATCATAAAATATCTTTATTTTAACAAAAAATTGGAGAGAACATAAAGCATTAAGCAGAGATTATTAAAGGGGAATCAAAGAATCTTGTTTAATTATGGAAAATGTGTTTTCTGGTGCTCAAGAATTGTTTTAAAAGCCAAATGGACTTTTTATATGATAATCAAGAATATCCTTTTAAAGGTTGCTATCAAAGCTTGTATTTAGCAGCGCTTGTGATGTAGGTACATTAGATAAGTTTATGAAGAAACCATTTTGAGCTGTTTTCTTACTGTAAAACTGCAAAAGAACAAATTTTCCAGGTCTATCAGCTTGGCAGTGAAGATGGCTAGAGGTAGAGTTTATTAAGGGGTTAAAGGAGATAGTTAATAAGCCAAGAAAAAAAGGATTGGAAAGGGGTTTACCTTCCTTGTTTCCCCCTATTTCTGGTTTTCATGTGGAGGAGAACATAGTGGATCAGACATTATGGTGGTTGGGGTAATTTTGGTTCATGAAGATGAAACTAGGACCTAGATTTATATAGATTTAATATTTTATTCAACTTTAAAATTCATTAAACATTTTTAGTCCAGAAATGTAGTAACAAAATGTCTTCCTTAGATGTTCTGTATTCCTCTGTGTTTATAATTGACTTTGAGAGCAGTAAACATATTTAGACCTTATCAAATTTCATTGCAAATTCAAAAGAGAGATAAATATAATGTTTCTATAGTGCCTTCTAACAAATTTAATCCTGCCAAAGGCAGCAGAGTTTCATCTCTATTTCATTACGTGATTACATTGGTTAAAACGCAGTAGTGTATAGCGCTACCCCCTGCAGGAGCCGCTTGACAATTTTGGGTTCCTTCTTCTGCGAACAACCTCAGTCCTTCTGGCACACATGGTTAGATAAAATCACTGCAAACACAATTGCAAAGGACACCAAAAAGAAATGATAGGGATTACAAGACAGTACTTTACTAGAGATTTTTAGGTCAGCAGAGATGACAAATTGTAAACTGTGGATATTTTCCCAAGTTGCGAGGCTTTGCATTAAACAGAAGTATAGCAATATGCAATGAAACAGCAATACCAGTGAACCTGATTGTAGAGCTAACAAACCTCAAATGAGTCTATGATCCCAGGAGCAACAAGGGAAGAGGAGACTATTGGTCAGTCAGTTCCCTCTAGGCCCTGATGCTACATCCAAAAATAACAACACAATATGTTAAATCTGGGGTTGAGTTCCCCCCTTAAAATAACTGAGTGACAATAATAAACAGTCAGTGACCACTCTGTAGATGGAATCCTTTAAATAGAGAAATCCTAAAGGCCAGTGTATCCCCGGTCTTCAGCTAGCTTATGGTGGGGCCCAGAGATGTCACGGTGCAATGAAGGGAAATAATGGATGGTACTCCCCAACAGAAGACTTCAATTAGGTAAAGTGGGGGGATAATGGTATCTGCATGCAGTATCTATACTGTATCAGATATGATCGTACCCGCTCACCAGACCCCTGGGAGATGTCACAACCGAATCCGCTGTTGAAGATCAGGCTCCTGGCAGAGCAGAATGGTACCAGTTTGTCTCCAGACAACTGATCAAACTGTGAGTAATGATGCCTGCAAGAATGCCCAGCGGTGGCCAACCAGATTTACAAACGATACCACGGTCTCTGGAATGCTGAGGGTCATCCCATGGTGCTGGGTGATGCTAGATTGCCGAGCAGGATGCACTTTTTGAATGGTTGGGCTGTGGCCTGGTCCTCCAGGGGAAAAAGCTAGCATGGCTTCTGCAAGGGAATATACAGTATTCCCCAGAATCCCCTTTGGTTTCCTTACTTCTGGTATTTGTAGTCCAGATAATGCTGAGGAATACAATGTAACTAGGCTGTATGACTACAAATCCCATGATCCTCTGCTTTCCAGACACAATTCCCACTCTGCTAGAAGGAAATGATGTGTTAACTCTGCACTGAATACTAAATAGGAGGAAATGGAATCTCAGTCTGTGCAGCAAATGTACCCTGAATTGCAGAATGATCACACACCAGCCTGAACCCAGCTACAAGTAGAAAACAATTAAAAAATGTCTTTTTCCTCAATTTACAATCACTTTACTAAAAAACCTTTGAGGTGATTTTACTAAAGAGGTTTAGAATCTTCACACACTAAAGTGTGTAAATTTACATTTTGGTTATCCAAATCATATGCTGATGAAATAAGAAAACAGGAATTTGCATATCACTCACATTAAATGGATAATTTTAGTAAATGCTCACAATTTAATTAAAAAATGTCTAAAAATGTTTCTAAAAAGGTATATTAGAGAAAAAATAGTGAAATTCTAGAACTTCTGTAAGCTTTACTAACCTAGTCTAGTCTAACCTTTCCACATTGAATTCAAAATGAAAAAAAAAAATACTATTTAAAACCAAACCTTTTTTTAAATTTAGGATAGAGTAGGGAATGATTAATGATGTAAATGGTCCGTAGTCGCTGACGTCTATGTTAGCATCTATCACATCATCCAGTGATGTAAAACCCTGTCAATCATCATGACCTGCCACCCCACCACGATGGCCTGCTATAGGCTGATGATTGTTCAGCCACCAACAACAACTTCCGGTTGCCCCCCTACACGAGGATGCTTCCATCTTGCTAAGTGCTACTGAGGTCCTGTGCGCACAAATGACAGTACATGAAAAGTATCATTCTTGAAGGCGCTGTTGTTTTGAATAAAAAGTGGGCTGATGTGTTTGTAAACAAACCATCCATGGATGCTGGGTGACGTCATTGACCAGCCCTTAACAATATGGCTGATTTGTTTACAAATCCCAGCTCACGGGGCTGGGAATCTGTAATTTTTTTTGTAGTGGCAGTAACAGTTTTGAAAGGTTTGTCTCTCCCTGTTGAAGACCTGTGGTTTCTGGCATGGTTCAGGAAGGTGGGGTGAGGTGGGGGGTGGGGGGCACACACTTGCTGCCCTCCCATTTTTTTAAAATGTCACTTTTAAAGAACTACATTATGCTGTTCTGTAACTTTGACTCCCATAGATTTCAAAGAGTTTAGAGCTATAGTCAGGGTTCACTCATCTCCTACGAACTGAACTTTGCTTGGTTCACATCCCTAGTTACAGCACTTTAGAGTATCCGAGAGAGTGTCTTGTAATGGTATGTTATGTTTCTAAATTTACTGAAGATGATCATTAAGGTTGAGGTAAAGCCATGCAGATTAGCTTTCATTCCTTTCCTTGGGCTTGAAATAGAACCGACATACCATTCATGTGTGTCTAGGATCTTTCTAGGTCTGTCTAGTAAATGGATTCTCTTTCACATAACTTTGAGTCAGATGGAATACCTTTGTAAAATTAACTTCTAATCTTTAGTCAATATAGGGTTTATGTTGTGCAAGCAAAAGTACAGAAAAAGTAAAGTATTCCCATTACCGTGTCCATCTGTAAGCATTTTGCACATTTGCATTAGAGACATATCAATGTTTATTTTTCCACTATTCTGATTCCTATGAGACAAAGTACATGTAGTACTTTGAACCATGTTGCTAGGTGCTTCAAAAATGTAGCTCTGAGTTTGGATTGGTCACTCCCTCCCTTTTAGCCTTTTAGCCAGAGATCCCACTTACAACATGAACCATTTCTTGTAGCATCAGCATCAGCAGGCAGCTAAAGGAAGAACACGAGGAAGCTGGGGCACTGGCAGGTTTGTAAGAGGAAGTTCCATTCTCCTCCTACTCTGAATGCTGGGGTCTGGGGGTAGGACATTTGATTGATTGATCCTAGCAACCAACCACTAGAGCTGACAGGGTAGGTGATGGATGGATGCTGTCAGCCAGCATATTTTTTACTGACAACAGCTCTGTTGCTGAGGCTGAGCAGTGTGGCAGCAGGGAGAATGAATGGGCATTTGTAAATTTGCACCCCTTGTCTACATCCTTGATAGCAGAGGACACTATGACAGCGGTGATTTGGTGGAACAGTGCATGGTGCAGCTTTCAATCTGGCTCCCCCTCCAGCCTCAAAAAGACTATGCCAAGGGCAGGTGCCCCTCCTGACCCTGCCTTGTCCTGGCCCTGCATAGGTGATATACCGGTACCTATATAATGAGTGTTTAAAACATGTGCCTATATAAATAAATACATTAATATCAAATACCAGTCAATATTATAAATAAAATTCAAATTTTCTTAAAGAAAATTTACTAATTGATATTTTAAATAAACTACAAATCTTAAAGAAAATTTATGGTCACAGTAAGCAGTTTCATTTTATAATATCAGCATTGTAATAACAATACAAACATTAGATATTTTTGATAATTTCCTTTCATGTTGTGAGTGCTGCCTGTCTGCGGGCTATCTCTTTCTACAACTTCCTAGATTCCCTGCTTGCTTTGCAGCTTCTGCTCTGCTGTTTACATTTGATTTCCTAAAAACTATAAACTGCTGCCGGAAAACAGTGATTTCTGTACTGGCTCTGCCTCCTGAAACTCCTCTAAGCTTCTCTGTATTTCAGAAGGCAGGCTCTGCGAAATGTGTGACATAGCGGTGCCTATTTATAGGGCATAGTGAATACACGTCTCAGAATTCAAGGAAGAAAATGTGTGGGGATCTTCACAATGTAAATTTACAGTTGTCAAAATAATTCAGAGTAATAGTAGTAGTAGTCTAGTAATAACTGAAATACGCTGAGGAATTGATTATATGATTTTATATCTTGACCATAGGTGCACTATAGGTAAATTATCATATGTAACAATAATATTCTAATAGATAGATAAAAAGTGCAATTTATCTTAGTCCATTCATCAAAATTGATAAAGTGTCTTCTCCATAATTAAGTGTAAATACCAAAACATGCTATAGAGTTGCTCCAAATGGCATTTCCATTTGAGTTTAATCTACCACTCCAAAGTTATCTCCAGTTGCCAA